TATATGCAGCATATATTTGCATATATTGCCATATATGTTCGTATACTTTCTTTCCGTGTGGGTAAAGATCAAATCCATCAACACATTGTATGTAATGCTGTGGAATGGCAAGTTGAGTTTCAATAATAATGCAGTTTTCATGTGGAAGTCCAATGGAAAAAGCCACTTGTCCTCGTCAGATTACTCGGTACAATGTGTCTCGCCGACTCCAAATACTTTGAAGGATAATAAAAATGAAGAATTGGAGCAGGGATTTACCGCAGAGCTTGTTTTTCTCCCTAAATACTTTCTCTGCCTTTTTGTCTCCAAAAGTGATTCTATTACACGCTTACTGAAGATACTTGAAACTTCACAGACTTCAACATCCACTGGAGTTTAAATGAGTTTTCCTTTTGCTGTGTTTTTTCTTATTCAAACCCTCTGAGGCTTTTTGCATCCTGATGCCAGGAGTACCTTCTGTAGGAAAGAGCCTTTAGAGAGCTCTCTGCACACGAGTACTGCTTGTTGTGACAGTGAGAGTTAAGAGGTGCTTCAGGTCCCAAAGAGCCATCCAACCATCCGGCGCTTCAACTAAGTTCAGTTAGTTTTGAAGCCATTTTCAGACCTCTTGTGGTGCCGTGCTGTTGCGTGGGCGAGCTTTCCCGACATGAACAACAGATCATTGTTGACTCAAATCACCTCCATGGTCAAATTATTTTTAAATGAGTGTAAAAACAACAGTGAAATGTTTCATGAAGCACTTATTTTTCACAAAGTGCTGATTATTTCTAGCTTAGCTGTTAAGGTCTGTCTCTAATGGATGCTTGTTGGTTGGTCAGTCTTGTCCTTGCTTGCACAATGCAGTCATTACTAATATAATTGCATAGTTAGTTTTCCCAGTGGCGGCACTTTTTCTCTGTAAATAAAGTTCAAATGAAGTTTTGCCGACATCTGGATTCAACAACAATGTTTTGGTCAAACTGTAAAAGTAAATTGCCTCGTAGACTACTTTACTTTACATTGTGGGCAGTCTCACGCTGCTTAATTCATGTTTTAAAACATGTTTTTATAACCTCACTTTTGTTGCATTATTTGTTGTATAATTGCACAATCAAAAAACTAAACAGTTAAAAGCATTTATTTAGGCTTTGATCTGCGCATAATGTATATTATAATGACCTTAATCTAGAAAAATGTTGTAATTATCGTCCAAATGATGACCAGAGACATTGAAAAAGATTTCCTGGCTTGGTTAACGTGCCACGCAGCATTTACAAAGGGTATGATGTCGTGCTGAATGTGTGTTCAATCTTGACACTGAGTGCAAACCACACACACACACACACACACACACACACACACACACACACACACACACACACACACACACACACACACACACACACACACACACACACACACATACACATACACACACACACACACACACACTTGTTTGCTGTGAGGACGGCTCAAACATCCACATGCTGTTCTGATTTTCCTCGGGGTCGAGGGATGGTGGCCAGTCCCCGTTACAAACTGCAACGATTAGCCGGATGTGCTTGTTGAGTAGCTGACAAAACAATGTCCGAAGTGTGCTGGAGCCTCCTGTCAACAGCCCGGCGGGATGTTATGACTGAGGAGGACCGCTCTGGTTCCCCTTTAACATCCAGGCCGGGCTCTTCGACTCTCCACAGGTCCAGGGTTCAGTGACGTGGGCTCAGCCACATGTCGGCCACATGTTCGGGTTAGTGTTTTAAGTCCAAGTTTATTTGGATGTCTGTTAGTTGGTGCAATGGCTATTTGTCCCCAGGGACGTATAAAACATTCTTAAAAGGAATAAGAAGAAAGAAGGAAAAACGAAACACAGCCGAATGAAATCAAACAAACAAAGAGAAACATTAAAACTGCATTTGGAGGGCGATCTGAACTCTTTACTGTGGCAACAGAATGTTTTAATGGGACAAAAGAGGGGTCAACCAATGGGAAATCTCTTGTATTTTATGTGAGTAGTTGACTAAAAGGGCAGATACTTAAAGCATAAGCATTGGTTTTGTTTGTTGAAATTATGTTTTCCAGAAATAATAAGTATACATTTTTGATGTTTATTGGAGAAATAAATTGGTAAATTGGCTATAAAGCTCAAATGGTTGCTTTCATTGAGCTGTAACTTGACATAAAAGCATTTATTATGATTTACACAGCAAGTGCCTTTCAATTTATTTTCTAATTGAATTAGCTCGATGCTAACAGAAAGGATGTACAGACCAGACAGGCGCCATCATAAGTACTTAGCACTTAGTTTTTATTGGTGATGCATGACTTTATTAAGACCCTTCGCATAAGAGAAGAGGCTAAATGACTTTTTGAGGTTTGTTAAAAGCAGTTATGCGTGGGTCATGCCAGACTGGAAAGCTCAGATAAAGTGCACAAACAAGTGAAGTCGTAATATGAATGAGTAACCAATTGTTTAATCGGTCTGTACTTTGCTTTGATATGTAAACTATAATTTCACTCAGGATAGGATGTGAGCTCTAAGTGTGGTATAAGTGATTGGCACCAGTGTGGATTGATGAATGAATAGGAATGAAACTACCGGTAGTCAGGACTTCCTGTTTCCTGTGGATGTGGCACTGGAGGAGGAAGTAGACGGCTGATGGACGGCTGACAGACTGGATCCTCTGAGCGGGGGAATTGAGTGATTTGAGCTTACCACAAAACATTCCTGTGCAAACTGTTAACCGGTCCTTAGAGAGTAGCTTACTGTGACGACAAATCCCACTAAAGCCTGCATTTGTTGATGCCATTTATTTGTAAAAACAGTACCTGAAAACACAGTTTCTAAGCCCAAGGCCACTTCATCAAAGTCGATTTTATTTTTCCTAGTAGTTACCATTTCTACAAAATATAGGAAGGTTACTCATTGCGATCATTTTGACTGGAGGATGGAGGATCTGTACCAAACAAGATTATTTTTTTGACAGGGACTTTCTGAAGCATCACAATAATTGCAATAGATGTTTTTGTTTTTTTGAAATATTTAGCCTTTACCAAATATAACGGTTAATGAGATTTGGATATTGCACTAGTGCTAGATAGCAATTAAAATAAAAATACCATCTAATTGCAACCCTTTCAATACATTTTAAGAACATTTCCAGCCTTCAGTGACATGTAATGTTAAAAGCAGAACTGTTAGTGATGTCAAAGTTCATGCACAGCTGTGATTGGTCCATTGAAACAAAGAAGTGGAGCTAATGATCTATGAATGTTGGTGTTTAACAAACATAGAAGATAGAGAACGGCATCTGTCAGAGATTACGATTTGCTCTGAATCAGACTCTTCATGTCTCAGGGGGAAAATAAATAAAAAAGGTTAATACAACAACAGCATCGCTGACCCCAGACCAGTGTTTACAAACTCCTGTGTGTTATGGCGTTATAGACGTGATCATAGGCGGAGCTGCAAGCCTGTTACCAAGCGACTAATACATGGAAATGTACCGGCTAAAGACCAATCACCAGGCTGCAGAATAGGCTTTGCTTTTTTGTAGAGGGATTATCAGGCAGTGTGAAATGAAGTCTGATTATGCCACCCCGCACACACACACACACACACACACACACACACACACACACACACACACACACACACACACACACACACACACACACACACACACACACACACACACACACAGCATTTCCCTCCGTCTGTTTATGTTAAAGCCTGAACAAAAGGAGCCAGTTGACAAAAATAGATCCATAATGGTATTAGCTATAACACTCTTGACTGTTGCACATGAAGACGTCAGACAATCACACAAAGACATGCTGCCACATGTACTCACACACACACATACAAAACACACTCACACACACACACTTGGTCTGAGCAGCATCTGGTCGGCCCACTCCCATAATCCCTATAGATGTAGAAGATGTGTGTGGTGACATCTGCTTCTCACTGTGGCCCCTGTCATCAATGGTTCGTCTGGGGCCAAGTTTAGAGTCAGTGTGAACTGGCCACATAGTGTTGTACTGTACGTATGTGTGAAAGGGGCAGAGAGCCGTGTCTAAGTGCTAATCTTGGCCAGCTGCGTGGGTTAAAAGCAGCAGAGTTATTGTGAGCAGAGGCTTAGTAGATTGTTATGGATGAGTGATATGGATAAAGTGTTCTGTCATCAGGGTAATGTATGCTGTGTGCCACTTTTTCCTGGAAAGTCAATTGAGAAACAGCTTATACTGTAGAAAGAAATAAACAAATGTGATATGTCTGTCTTTAAATAGCTTATACATTGAGGAAAGTATTCCACTACAACCACATAATATTAACTACATAATAATCGTGTTTTAATCAAACTGTTTGGGTACTGACATATTGTCTAATGGAATGCAATATATACTCATTGTCCAGCCATGTGTCGAGTGTTTTAATGTACATAATACATATCTTTGATATTTATCACATTGTGCACAGTACTTGCAAACAAATCATATTGATACGAAATGTTATTTTCCTCTTATGAACATTAAATTATACAGTATATATATGTTATTTTAGTTAGAGATTGGAGTCAGCTGCAAGAAAGCTTCCCTGGTAGATTTCAGGTGTTTTGTTTAACCATCACAACTATATGCCTTACTTGAATTCTGTATGTGGACATTGTTTTCTGTCTGTTGCATTATGGGAAGTGTAAGATTCTGCATTATTTGGAATCAGACCCATACATTGATCTAAAAGTCTTTATATCTTGGCTTCTGCTGTTTAAATTGTACTCATTCAATTTTTTTATCCGTCTCTTGTGAGTCTTACAGCGTTATGGAAGTGCAATATTACATTTCTGGAGAACCCCTTTAATAAAAGCATGCCTTTGGACATTATTGGTCGGGGCATAGCTGCATGTTTTTGTTCTTACTGTTCCCATGACTTCATCACTTTCACCCATCAAAAAAGGTTTATCACAAAAATAATCTCACAGCTCTCCGCAGAGAAATAACTTTTGGCATGATCAGTAGCCATGTTTAATACTAACAAGGTTTGTTTTACTACTGATGCCGAGTGCAATCATTTGACTCTAATAAGTCACAACTTAAACAGCAAATCTCTCTGGCAACATGTTAGATCTCTAAAGCCCTTTTCCCACCGGACAAAAAATAAATAACACCCACTAACATCTGGCTTTTGTCTTTAATGGAAAAGGTTACAATTTGTATTTACAGTATTCCTGGGACAAATGATTTATTAATTTGAACTCCTTTAATTAAATGCTATGATGTGGTTAAGTCAATACATGGTTTTCTAAAATGAATACAGTTTTGGATGAGTACTATAATTTATATACAAACACAAAAAAACTCCATTGACAGTATTTTAACCTCGCTGATCTTCGTATAGCACACTTTATTTAAGCTCAACAGAAACAAGTTTAAACACGTCCAACCATCACCAACTCTGGTTTGTTGGTTTGAGAGAGATTAGTTACAGATATGAAGATGAACAATTCCACTATTTACTTACCCTTGCTATTATTGCTTGCTGCACAGAAATGGCATCAAATGTTACACACCAAAAGAAGAACAGAAACATATACTCGTCTACTAGAAACGGGAACGGAATCAATGTTTTAGGCAGGTTCTCCTGTGCTTAAAAAGCCTGCATATAAGAGCACGTGTTGGTGGAATAATTAGGCACCAAACCCTGACCTTGACCTTGTCCTTTTGTCTTTGTTTCTCTCATCAGGTCAAAGAGGAGATGCTGCTGGAAGCTCTGACCACCAGGAAGACGGTGACTGTCGGAGAGAGGCTCATCGTACCTTACAAACTTGCTGAGGTAACATTTTGTATTCCTCACAGCATCTACATACAGCAACAACATGTGACATCTGCCTACCTTAGACTCAACTACACAGACTTTATCTGACCTTTACAGTATCTGTCCTAAAATAGATGACATATTACTGGTAAATCCCCTCACTATGTCATTGCACTTCTTTTGAAACTTTGACTAACATTGGCGGATATATTCAACACATATTACCACTTACAGTCAAAATGGGTGTGAAATCTATTCAGTCTCAAGTAAGCATTTGTAGCCGATAGTTTGGTTATGAAGTGCCTCAGCTGTAGATTGTGATTGTGTGTGTGTGTGTGTGTGTGTGTGTGTGTGTGTGTGTGTGTGTGTGTGTGTGTGTGTGTGTGTGTGTGTGTGTGTGTGTTAAGGTGCACATGCTTGTGAGCCCAGGTTTATTAAGATAATGCGTGATGTCTGACTTTGACATATTAGATGTGGCTCAAGATAATCTGACTCCACCACTTCCTTCTTCCTGTTTAAAGACAGACATGGTGCAGTGGAAGAGAGGTGGGAGCAACAAGACGCTTATTCCTTTGCTTTGAATTTCTTTTAAAGGTTTCAAATGCGTTGAAGTTCCTAGTCATAATAATAATAATACATTTTATTTCTATAGTGCTTTTCTTGAACCCAAAGATGCTTTACATTTGGGAGGGAGGGTAGACAAACAAAACAAAAACAAAAAGAAACAACACAGAAAAGTAGTCAGGAGGAAGTTGGTTGAGAGGGGGGGGGCTTATGGATACAGAGTTGAAGAGGTGGGTTATATGAGAGTGGAAAGGTAATCACCCATTGCTTAGGGATTGTAAAATATAATGAAGGTGCACTGATAGAGAAAAACAACAACTCCATAAATATAAATTAAAAACATGTGCAGCATATCGTGGTGAAACACACACAAAACGTCCTGCAGCGAGGAAGCCAGCAGGCCACGTGCAGCGTGAGCTCATGCTGCTATTTCACACCTCCTGCTGTTTCCAGGAAAGAGAAATAAATGGAAAGAAAGAGTTTAACAACAATTCCCATTCTTGAGCAAAGCCTTATAATCACCAACACCGGCTCTTACTAACAGCCAGGACAGTTTTCAAAAGTCTCTGATCAAGTGATTATTTTGTCAGTTTCTTGGGTGGCCCTCCAGCAAAAATATTTTCTACCCATTTGCTTCGTGCCATGTTCCCTCCTAGCTCCTAACTGGTCCCATTGTGTTGAATAATTAAGTTACATTGCAAACACAGAGACAATTCATGCCCAGTGAGCTCGTCAAATGTTCACATCTCATCCGGCAATCCCCTGAGTTCCTGCTGAAGCGTTTAAATTGTCATCAAACGTTGTATTATTCATAACAATCTTATATAACTTTGTGGGAGCAGGAACGTCACAAGCTAAAAATACTCATAACAATCAATAATGCAAAAGTGAGAGGCGGCTTTTATAATGAATAGTTTTGCTTCATCATGGCTGTTGGCGGCAGTGTTTCTAAGGTTTATCCGGTTCAGAGTCCCACACATGCCTTTTAAAGAGGGGAATATGTATATTTTTATTATTATATAACTGATCTAGGACATGTATTCATATCTAATGTTCTTCTAGTGATTGTTTGCCAGTTTTTGTTCGTTGTTTCATAAAGCTTCAGACCTACTTCCTCTCACCAATTTGGTTTGTCTGAATGTGCTTCCCTCTCAAACAGGGATGTCACAGTGTATGCTGCTGATATTTTTAGTTTAATCTTCATTTAATTGGGCAAATCAATTAAAGCACATGTGTCAAACTCAAGGCCCGGGGGCCAAATCAGGCCCTTGGTGGATTTAATTTCGGCCCGCAGGATCATTTCTAATTACTATTAGATCTGGCCCGCCGGTATATTGCACTCACACCTTCACTCCATCCTGAGGGTCTCCTCAGCTCAGAGCCTGAGCCCAAACATTGATGACCTTGCACCCAAGATGAGATGCCAAGTATCTGCTTGAACTAGCATCATAGAGCAGCACACTGAGTTTACATGGATGTTTCCTGTTGCACTTTTTTTCTTGCGACAACAGGGCATGTTTGTTTTTTTCTTTGAGGGGAATAGTTTTTTTTAAGCTGTTGTTGGCCTGTGGAAAAATGTAATCATAAGAAATGACTCAGATAGCAGATAGAGCCATAAGAAATTAATGCAACTGATTATTTAATGTGTAATGTTGTTTTTATAGGCAATAATTTAAGCTTTGTTAATTCCAGGTTTAATATGTGCAATAAGTTCATTCAATAAACATTGAACCAGTCCGGCCCTCGACTAGTACAGATTTTTAAATTTTGGCCCACTGTGTATTTGAGTTTGACACCCTTGAATTAAAGGATAGGTTCAAGTATGTCTAAAAACAAGAAATATGCCTATGGGATGATTCATTCATAAATACATTTCAATGTAAGTGATATGGGACAGAAACCATAGGCTGTGTGAAAATATAGTTTACTGGATTGTTTTTGAAGGCAGATGTAAAAAATGTGAGCATTTCTAGTTAAAATGCTACATGTTTTCAGCTACTGTAATCTTAAGAACATCTATTTATATTATTTATGTGTGTTTTGGGAATAAGCAGGCACACTAAGAGTTCGTTTCCCTGCTTCGGTTTGGTCAAGGAATCTGAAAATAGAGTCCTGTTTTGATCGTGAATCCTTTTTCTCCATTCAATCTACTACCATGAGTATAACAAATCAAATGTATAAATCTACGGAGAGAGATGACGTCCCGTATTTAATCCTGCACTACCAAAGCGCCGATTTCATTTCTCCAATTGGTGGAAATAGTCTTCCTCCTAGAAATACTGGAATCGCAAAACAAATCTGCACTGGAACCAGGCTGCATGTGTCTGCAATTTAGCACTGATAGAGATGTCATGATTTTTGCAAAGTTCACAGTATAGAAAACTGAAGGACGAGGAAGAAAATTCGAGGAGTGAGGATGAAGATAAGATGTTAGAAATTAATTTACATTCAGATGTCCAGAGCATCCGATTGAGCTGTTTAGAAGGATGGTAATGTTTAACATAAATTACACATGTGTTGTTAATTCAGACTTGTTTATTTGACAAACAGGTGTACATACTGTAATTAAACATCCTGTTGTTGTGTAGTGTCTGTACTTGAGATAAAAACACAACACAGGTCAATCAGTTTAGTGATTATAAGGTAAAATAGTGAAATCCAGGGTACCTTTCTCTTTTTACAGGGTATTTTAGAAAGTGTGATTCTGTGTGTTTTCACTTACGTAGTCTCTTCCTGATTTCCCATTTCTTGTTTCAATCCCTGTTAAATGAAACTGTGATTGGATTAGTCTCTTCAAATTGATCTCTGTTTTAATGCATAGTTATTTCGGGGCTCCTGCCATGAAAATGTTTGACCTAGTTAAGCAGACTCTGTCTTGTTCCTCTCACCATTCAATCATAACACGTTTTGCTGCCAAACACCATGCACTGTTGTCCAAGTCTCCATTTAATTCTGCTTATGTTAGCTTAGCATGCCTTTCATCATGCCTAAAGAGAAAGCATAGTTGCTCTTTGGCTTGTAGAGGCGTAATAATGGCTCCTTTTGGCAGCGTTTTTTTAATGGATCAAAAAAGGCGTTCCATAAAAAGAGTTGTTCAAATAGTGATCTGCAGGTCTGGAGGCACTTAAAGCTCTGGCTCCTGAATGAAAACATCTAAAATATTACAACACTTCGCACAGCAAGCCTCCCGAACATATTATGAACAGTAACTCAGAGTCACGAGCAGCGCGGGAGCTTTAACACAGGCCGTGTTTAGCCTATAAATAAAAAGAAGCTGATGTCATTAACCCTTTGACAATTTATTAATAAAAACAGCCTGGCATTTCCCATCTCTAAATCACAGATGTATAGTTGTTTTCAGACTGTTAGCATTGATTAACTTCAGCTAAAAGGTAGGCTACTTGTGTCCCTTGAGAAAGATGAATGCTAGCTAATGTTGGCTAGTGCTGTTTGATGTATCCTAATAAACATATTGTTGATGTATGGTTCTTTATTGGCTGTTTTTTTTATAAGAAGGTGAGAGGAGAAGATTGATAGCATTCTCATGTGTATAAGATAATGCTAAATATGAACCAGCTGGTAATTAGCTTAGCATAAAGACTGGACGCAGTGGGACAAAGCTAGCCTGGCTTTGTCACAAGGTAAAAAAAAACACATGCACCTTAGCTAACTCGTCATAAAACCACCCAAAAACTGTCTCTTTCAACAAATAAAAATATATGTTTCAACTTTAGTAAGAACCAGTTGAGCAGTTTCCCCTACTGCTAATTTTTATGGGAAGCTAAGCTAATATCCTCCTGGCCATAGTTTGAAATGTACCATACGGATATGAGATTTGTATTGATCTATTTGATCTAATTCTGATAAGGGAGTACATTTACTATTGAACCTACTGTAATACTTAAGGATTTATAATCAATAAAATGTCAATAAATAGTCAAACCCAACTCACGATGCATTCAACAGCAAATGTTGCGTATTTCTTTCTCCTTATAAATGACCTAAACACTTGTTGGCAATTCATTATAGTCTTCAACTAATTATTTGTGTGAGTAATAATGTGAAACAGATTTTATTGTGGCCATATCAAATTAACGACAGTCCTATTTTTTCAAAACACTTTCCTTTCCAGTTTTTCACCACAGTATTTCAGAGCTGTCTCTGCTCTGCTTTCCTTGCGGTTTCTTTCATTTCGTTCCCTCAGTGACTCCCATCAGATGACTCAGCCTCTCCCTGAGAGAGCAGTTCATTAGACCTCTTCTCTGCCCATTTCACACGTTTAAACATGACACTGATCTAGTTCCAGAGAGGAGAGAGGGAACCATTAGTGTTGATTTTGTGGAGAAGAGCTGACATCAGTTGGCTGGTGTTTGTGTTTGATGTAGTAAAGTCGACAGGTTCCTGTAATACAACGGCCATCCTGCAGAACGACTTTGCTCCACGCTGTTGAAAAAAACGGCAGCACACAACACCCATAGACAAGGAAAATAAGTCAGTAAACAAAAAGCAGAAACATTTAACTGGTTGCTGGGCATTTAACACTTGCGGGCAACCATAGAAACACTGGGAAATCAAAAAGGTTGAGCAGCAGCTGAGAGTTACTGCACCTCAGTGAGGGTGAGGAGATTGATAACACAGTTTTGGTTCCTGATTTAGATTTAGAAATCCATATGATTTGGATCATGAAGAAACTGACGTGTATCTGTGTGTGTGTTCTTTTTTTTTTTAGGCGGGCACGGTGAGAGACTCCATGGCTAAGTCCCTGTACAGCGCTCTGTTTGACTGGATCGTGTTCAGGACCAACCATGCTCTGCTCAACAACAAGGACCTGGAGGACAACTCAAAGGTAGGGGGGATAAAACAAACACAAACACATATATAAGTACACACACACACACACACACGCACACACACACACACAAAAATACACAATATTTGTAGGAGAGCCACATTTTATTTTCTCAAACATATATGAAAAGAGTGACATAAACAACATTTTCACCCCATAAACAGTCTGTCATGACTTGATTATCTGCTATGGCTTTCCCAGTGCGATATAAAAATTCCACTGTGTGTGTGTATATACGAGTGTGTGTGTGTGTGTTGGAGTGGCAGCTGGCAAGTAAACCCTGTGGGTGAATCTAAAGGATTAGAAAACAGTGTGTGTGGATGTGTGTTTCTGTGAGTGTGTGTATGCCAAGAACATTTGGGCAGATGGCATCAGGTTCCCCTCAGCTCAGTTTACCCCCTGCGGCCCTTGTGTGTGTGTGTGTGTGTGTGTGTGTGTGTGTGTGTGTGTGTGTGTGTGTGTGTGTGTGTGTGTGTGTGTGTGTGTGTGCTATAGTGTGTGTGTGTTTGTCCTCTCTCTCTGCTGTCAGGGGGTCGATGAGGTTGCACTTTCCTGTCAAGGTCATTGTTCTTATGTACAGATAACAGTTTATTTATGTGTATGCTCATGTATGTTTTTACTACATTGCCCTTCAGAGAGAAATAAAACACGTCTAGAAAAAATAAATTGTAATTGGAAACAGCTTTTACGGCCCATTTCATAATTAAAGGCCGCCTTTGAGTGGACGCCTCCTTCAGATGGTGCATGTTAATGAAATATGATGTCATGAATCTTACTGACACCCAGGGGCCAACCGGGTCACTGGAGCTGTGAAGAAAAGGCATAACACGAAACACAATACAAATATCTCTAAATAATTAAGAACAGTGTTGCTGGAGGGTTTTGTTTTAATATCCTGATCCTATAAATATGTAAAGTATTAATGGAAACTGAGCTGTCTGCGTTTTTCCTCCAGACCCTGTCGATAGGAGTCCTGGACATCTTTGGTTTTGAGGATTATGAGAACAACAGCTTTGAACAGTTCTGCATCAACTTCGCCAACGAACGACTGCAGCACTACTTCAACCAACACATCTTCAAATTGGAGCAGGTAGGGTTTCATTTTCCCTCTCTAGTCTTTACTGTATTCACACAAAAAGCCACTTCATTGTGGGCAGCCTTTAAGGAAGTCAGATGAATCATAATAGTATAAGTAGCTAGTATGAGTCGGCATAAGGAAGAGGTTGTGGAGAATGGATGGGTAGGGCGGTTCAGGTCTCGTGTGAAACCCGAAGATAATGTTGGCTTATTTTAACACATTTTTGTCAACTTACGTATTTAGATAAGTTAAATACGTAAACATAGGCTAGTTATTTCAACATAAACCCCATGCAATTAGTTTTGTTGGCTTAGCATATTCTGCACTTCAGGCGCCCTAATCGCTCCTGGTGTATTTGTGGAAAAAAACACACACAAAATAGCTTCTCGTAAAAAAAGATAATATCAAACAAACCGTGAGAGGACATGTTATTGTACTCTACTGAATTCTCCTCTTTTCTCAATGCCATTTTGCTCATTTTATACCATTCAGACCAATGTTATTGTTGCAGCTGCTGATAACACGTCATTGCATTTTGTATTTGGCTGCCTCTACGACGATGTTTACAACATTCAAACATTCTTTGTAAAGTGTGTGTTGGTATCGTAGTGGCGTCAGTTCATGGAGAATCACATTGTTGCTGCTGCTACACATTCTTTAAAAAAATGCCTTCATGGTTTTGATTGATTCAGCTGATGGAGCGATGAATGGACTGCAGTTGCGTCAAACTGAAACAAAAAGATTACCTGTTTATCAGATGTGTGTGAGGAGCTGCTTTTGTATTGCTGTCCATGCTTTGTTCAATATTTTTGGAAGGCCACTTTGCCCCTGACATTACAGTAGAAACATCTGTAATTATGTAGCTAGGTTAAGTTTGCACGCACATTCATAGAAACTAAAAAGTCAGAGGAAGGGTGCTGAATTACCAGAAGAGTCTGACAGGCCGGGTAAGGGTGCAGGAGACCAGGGGTGTTTCTCAATGCCGAGTATGCTTCCTTGGTAGCACATGTCTTCCGAGTCACTTGCTTCAGAAGCGAGGCAAGAATACTTCCTGGCATTCGGAAAACGAAGAGTGGAACAGGCTAGCAAGTGTGCAGGTGTGCGTCATATGAGAGGCATTTTCCGCATTGTGGGGATTTTAAGACCGCGGAGTCTACAAATGTGCAGCCTCGAAATTTCTCCTAACGAAGTACGCCGGGCTCTGTAGAATTCCAAGTATGCTGGACATTGGAACAGTCCTTCGGCGGGACTCGATGACGTAGTATGCTTGAAATAGTGGCTCTGGAGCAGCTTTCCTCGACATTGAGAAACACCCAAGGAGAGCTAACATTGCCCAAAGTTTTTTTTTTCTCCGACTGGCTTTGGTTTGCTTGTTTATGCCTCTGTATGGCCCCCTTTTATTTAATTTTAAATAATCTATTGTCATTTCATCACAGTTTATCAAAGAGACACCAGCTTCATTTTCACTCAAAAGGAATATTACTGAAGCACTGATCAGCTATATTATGTATTCATATATTCTCATTTATTCAGATCCACTGCTTAAACACCTAATATTCAGTGAGCATGTTTTATTTATTTTTGTCAAATAATATCAATTGAACAAGCGCGAGATCAGTGAGAAGGAAAGAGCAGAGACGAAGGAGGAAATAATGAGACTCAATCAGTGGGAGACTGTCGCCTCTTGTCGTCTTCATTCTGAATTCTGATTGGCTGTGGCAACTTAGCAGGCAGGCAAATCGCTGAAGGCAGAATGCGGAGAAGAACAGAGTGTTAAAAAAAAAAAAAAAAAAGAGAGCAGTGTGTCTGTAAACGAGCGCAATAACGTCCCTTCAGTCTCCGTGAAGATCACAGGCTGCCGCTGCTGTAATGATCCTGTTATCTGTTTCTGACAGTTAGCCCTCAGGGTCTATATATACACACACACTCTCTCTCTCTCTCTCTCTCTCTCTCTCTCTCTCTCTCTCACACACACTCTGCAGGATGTAACATGTACTAACAAACAGGTTGAGTTACTGTTAATGAAAAATTGATGGTTAAGCACTCTGGCTTCAATTTTTGATGTTCGGCTGTTGAAGCTAATGGTTATGCAAAGTTAAAATAAGGACACAGTTGGATGAGCTGCCATTAGCCGTCCTTAGATTACGATAAGAATCCTATTTTATTTGTCGTGTTTATTTGTTTATTATCATTCATACAATTATAGGAATAAAGATTCTGTGATATTATTCTAATCAACTGATGCCAATTATAAACACACGTACAAATGTGTATTAAAAACAAAATGCAACTTCTAGTCAGGCTTTGGGAGCGGTCGTTTACATACGTTTTAAAAAAATGCGTTTATCTGCCCAATTATTAAGATCCACCAACAATATAATGACTTATTTCCTTCTTACGTTTAAGTCCCCTTACATACGCTTTAACCAAAGACACAATGAAACTTGTGGAAACAAATGATATTATTTCATTTTAAAGAGGACTGTTTTTATTATTTATGAATTTAACATGTATCTGTAAAGTGTTTTTGATCACCTTTTGAAAGCGCTTGATAACAGTAAAACTATTTACTGTATATAAAACATGTACATTTAATTCAGATCAGCATCTAAAAGGCATCTAATACAAAGTCATTCTGGTTTACTGATGGTGTTGTCTCTCCGTGGCAGCAGGTGCTCGTGACTGCTGTCTGAACCTTTCACTTGAGGGCTTTTGTTCCTGTGTTATGTTCAACGAATAAGTGTCAAAGTGCCTCTGAGACGCTCGTCCTCACAGGACTCTGCCCAATATTGTTCCAGGAGAGTTCACGTTTATTATCCTTTAATCACCGGGGTCCTCCCAACCTTTGGCCCCCTGCCTCTCTTGAGTTTATTTGACAGGACAACAGTTGAGGCGGCCCCTCAGAGGCAGGTTGGTCGAGCTTCCTAATCGAGGGTTGCCAGATCTGAACTGATTTGTGTTTGTTTGAATAAAGTTTAGCAGTTCACGCCACAGGCCCCTCTACCCTCAGTTTGACGTCAAGAGGAAAGACAGCGCTCCACACCTTGGGTGTTTCTCAATCACGAGTACGCTTGCTTGTCTTCCGAGTCACTTGCTTCAGAAGCGAGGCAACAATCCTTCCTGGCATTCGGAAAACGAAGAGTGGAACAGGCGAGCAAGTGTCACACGAGAAGCCGGTGAGAGAACGGTGCTGAATTACCAGAATAGTCTGACAGGCCGGGTAAGGGTGCAGGAGACCAGGGGTGTTTCTCAATGCTGAGTATGCTTGCTTGGTAGCACATCTCTTCCGAGTCACTTGCTTCAGAAGCGAGGCAAGAATACTTCCTGGAATTTGGAAAACGAAGAGTGGAACAGGCGAGCAAGTGTGCAGGTGTGCGTCACATGAGAGGCCCCGCCTTACATTTTCCGCCACAGATTTGGGGAAATTGGTCCGTGTGCAAAGCATTGTGGGGATTTTAAGACCGCGGAGTCTACACATGTGCAGCCTCGAAATGTCTCCAAACGAAGTACGCCGGCCTCGGTAGAATTCAAAGTATGCTGGACATTGGGACAGTCCTTTTGCGGCACTCGATGACGTAGTATGCTTGAAATAGTGGCTCTGGAGCAGCCTTCCTCGACATTGAGAAACACCCCTTGTCTGATGATTTATGTTGAACCTTTAACCGCTGCACTCAAAATGCAGACGCTTTCTTTTACAAACACTCTGTGAGCTAAGTGATGCTAATCATGCTGAAGTCTTTGTTATTTGTTGTGAGTTTTCGACCAATTTATCAGGAAATTTAAATGAAAATAAGAAGCTTTTTGATTAAAATGTCCTCAATATTTTAAACGTATTTACTTGGAATCAACAGAAATGCCCTTTGTAACGTTTATCAGTGTTGCTTTAATCCTTTTCTACATATTTACTGAATATGAAACAAAAAATTCACTATTACGCTATTAATTGCTGTTTTTAAAGTGTTGTATTCACTTTGTTAAAATCGCAGTGATCCCTCAACTGGAAATATAGTGTTTCACTCTGTTATCATATATAGGTACAAAACATGCATTTTTTTATTGATAGGTGTCAGAGCAAAGAAAGCATTTGTGGCTTCAATGCCTTGCTCAAGGACACCTCTCGAGCTACCAGTCGACATGCTGTATTTTTGGTCCGATCGGGACTTGAACTAGTTACTGCCGCCCCCAGTAGTTTGTTTATATGTATATTTGTCAGGGTTGAGCGAAGCAGGCAGGACCCAAATGCAGGTTTAAGTGAAAAAATACCTTTATGTCAAGGATACAACTAGACATACAGAGCAGAACTCTCTCCCCTGTGAACACATTAAAACAAAGACTAACAGAAAAAGCAGAACCTAAATGCACACAGGACTAATCAAACAAACAAGACACAGGTGAGGAGGGAGGAGAAAACACGGAGGCACAAGGTGAACACCGGGTAATCAGGCAGGAGGGAACACAGGGACAGGAAGCAACAGACAAGACAGGGGTTGAACCCTTTTCAAACTAAAACAGGAAACCAAAGAGACAGATCTACACAGGACAAAAATAAAGCACGGACAGATCGTGACAATATTACTGACATTTTCTTCAACTTTCTTCATCTTTACTACATCAGAAATTAGTAGGAGAAAACACATGCTACTAACTCTGGTTCTTGTGGTTTCAATGTGGTATCTTTGGCATGCCTTCCCATTTTTTAGGGGTAAACATCAGTTAAGTCGTCTATCTAGAATACAGAGAACTTCAGCAGCATCTGATGATCTGATCAAGACCAAATTTATTTATTTGAACAAGCGGAGACCACTGCTTCCTCTTTGTCCGTCATTCTGACTTTGAGAGGTGATTTTCCATCAGGGGGATTTTCCTCCTCTCTTTCCTCCGGGCTTTACTCCCCTCCAACCAATCAGTTGGTCTTATCAGCAGCGAGTGTATTTACCTTTGGAACAGCGGCCAAAGCTAATAGGACCACACCAACCAAAACCTGCTGTGTGTGTGTGTGTGTGTGTGTCCTAGCATTACTATACTTGTGGGGACCATCTGTTTACACAGTCACGTGTGGGGACTCGCCTAAGGGTTAGGCGTGTGTTGGTTAAGGTTAAGGTTAGGATAAGTCTCCAGGAAATGCATGTAAGTCAATGTAATGTCCCCTGAAGTGGTGTGTGTGTGTGTGTGTGTGTGTGTGTGTGTGTGTGTGTGTGTGTGTGTGTCAAGTGTTTACACTCAACATGCCAATTGGTGCTTGATTTCTTCTCTATGTGAGGACGATATCAGAGTTAAAGAGAAAACACGACAGCCACCGCCTTAGGCAAACACGTGTCATGTTTGTCTTGTGAGGTATCTGTAAAGAAATAAAACACATGTGGAAAGGTTTACCTTCATCTGATATAAAGGGAGACTTCTGCTGTTCATTGAGTTCATTGTCCAGGAGTAATAGGATAAGGGTTGAATAGGGACTGCCAGATAGTAATTAAATGTGCCTTTGTTCATACTGATAAAGCAGCTAGTAATTGTAAAAACAGAGTTCTTTGTTTTGATGCAGATTTTCAGATTTCTTGATTTTTTTTGTAGTCATGCTGGTCAAAAAAGGTCCAACTTATTCCAGTCCGATCACAAAACTCAGAGTTAAAAGAGGCCTTCTTATGCTTTATGGGGTTTTCCTTTCCTGTAGTGTGTTTTATGTTTTTGATGGTGTGCAAAGGCTAAAATCCCACATTTTGAGAAACGCCTCCATTGGACTCCTTTGTTTACACGTAACATAACGATATCACTACGTAACCCTCCCGCTTCTATTGGCTAGCGCTCCAACACATTATACGTGATAAGGGGCGGGATATCTCTAAGCGGTTGGACAATTACAACAGAGCCGGCCAGCTAACCAATCAGAGCAGACTGGGCTCTGGTTTCCGACAGAGGGTGAAAAGAGGTGCTGCAGCACAGGCAGTATGAGACAAATAAAGAGCTTTGTGAACATTAAAGCATGGAGACATGTCATAGTGGCACAAAATACTTATATGACACGAGCATCATAGGGTCCCTTTAAATGTAAGAAGCCAAACATATGTGAAATTGAATTTCAAAATGTTCCTCAAACACAGCCAAAATACAATTATGATTTAAATCAGGAACTATCTCGACAAAGAGGAAGTTAACAAGATTAGAAGTCAACTGTCTGCTGTTCTGGTTCTTCCTACAATTGAATCAAATCTTATACAGGCTTCAGTGATTTAATACATTTGCTTTTGTTTCAGTTAGTTGTTTTGCTAAATCAGAAGCAACACTGAACAAGATAAACCAACTACAGTATACTGTCCCAGTTTATAAAATTCACTTTGTTTTTGGGGCATTACATTAAAAGCATGTAAACATGTCAGAGTAGAGGCACAACATACAAGTTTGAACCTCAAAATGACCACGCAGCCAGCTTGTCTTTTTCTTGTACTGTATCTACGTCTTTGTCAGTTTCAAACGTTTTTCCCTCTGTGTGCTTTAAAAAAACACACCAGAACTTGCTCCCATGATTGCACCTCCTGTCTGCTCAGTAAAAACAGTCTGCTGTCATAACAGGAGAGAAGGGCGCTGAGGGAGGGAGACATATATAAAGAAAGAAGAGATAGAGAGGTCCTAACACAAACACAGCCTCTGTAACTCAGAGCTCAATAAAAGATGGAGGGACGGCCAACCCCAATGACCGCAGCACAACTCGCTGCTTTCTTCAGCTCAGCAGGAAGTCTTTCAGCTATTATTGCTCGCACATTTCTATGTGCATCTGCGTCCCAAAATGTGTCATGTCTCTCTTTACTTAATATTATTTTTGGTCAGTGGAAACTTTAAAGCAGGGGTGTCAAACTAAAATACACGGTGGGCCAAAATTTAAAAATGGGTACTAGTCGAGGGCCGGATGGGTTCAATGTTTATTGCGAAAATTATTGAAATGAACTTATTGCACATATTAAACCTAGAACTAACTAAGCTTAAATTATTGCCTATAAAAACAAAATTAAACATTAAATAATCAGTCATTTCTTATGGCTCTATCTGCAGCTTTTCCGGAGACATTTCTTATGATTACATTTTCCCACAGGCCAACAACAGCTTCAAAAAAACTTTCCCTCAAAGAAAAAACCAAACATGCCCTGTTGTCGTGAGAGAAAAGGTGCAGAAGGAAACATCCATGTAAACTTGTGATGTTAGTTCAAGCCAGATACTTGGCATCTCATCTTGGGTGCAAGTTCATCAATGTTTGGGGTCAGGCTCTGAGCTGAGGAAATCCTCTTGATTGAGTGAAGGTGTGCGTGCAATATACCGGCGGGCCAGATCTAATAGTAATTAGAAATTATCCTGCGGGCCGAAATTAAATCCACCAAGGGCCTGATTTGGCCCCCGGGCCTTGAGTTTGACACATGTGCTTTAAAGGATCAGTTTGCTAATATTGCAAGTGTTTTGGACACTAACGGAAACATCCTCTTACAAATGTTAACAGTCCATCATATGGATGGAGGTCAGAGACTGTTTTCGAAAGAAGTCCTTTTAATTAAGTAAAAGAAGCATTACAGCAGTGAAGCAGTCTAAATGTTAAATGAAAGTAAAGTATCAGAATCAAATTATACTTAATGTACCACAAGATTATTGGATTGTAATTCATTTGTAAGCATTGTGTAAACATTGTAGCTGCTGGTAAAGCACTTGTGGATAGTTTAACCTTCAACAATGCATCATGATGGCTACATGAATAATCTGAATCTGCATAATAACTAAACCCTGACGTTTTTATACTGAAGTAGAAAGTGCAATTGTTGCCTCTATATACTAATGGATTATTAAAATAAAGTTGTGCATCTTAACATTGTACTGCACTCTATTCAAACTTCAAAGTTTTAACCAAGCTTCAATATGAACCAGGATTTTTCAGCATGAATGCACTCACAGTACGAAACTAAAAATAAATGTTTACAAGAAAATAAACAAAAGTAAATGCAATAAGAACATGACAAATTAATGAAAAAATGTCCAGTATATCACAATTTCAATTAGTAGAGCTATGCAGTTTGAAAAGAGGAAGCATTGAACAGAGATATGCACAAAGCTTACACTATGGATGATGAGGAATGGCTCACATGAAGTGTGTCAGGGCAGTTTATGTAAATATGTGCATGTGTGTTTACCTCTGAACCTGTGTGTCTGCATCCAATTGTCTCTGTGATTCAACACATGTGCTCTCACAGACACAACACAGTCAGGCAGATTAACCGAGTCATTTATCCGTGAGTAGCTTGATGAGATTTTTAAACAAAAGAACGGGACTCTTTTTATTGCTCAGTTTTTGTTTGCTGGATCAGGTGCAACCTCTGAGAGAAACCAAACATGTTCTGAATTCCCCGTCAGTGATTCAGCGGCCTGGAAAAAGAGGAGAGGGTGTCGCATGTGTAGAGGAATCTTCAAGTGCTGCTTTTAATACTTTACATCTGTCTCGTTTCAGTGATCATTCACATTTTTTCTTTATTATTCTACAGCTAGTTCAAAAACCCATACACTGACACATCAAAACTAGGGCTGTACCCGAATATTCGTTCGTTGGAGTACTATTCGGGTTTCAATTTTGTTATTCGGATATTCGTTTTGTTTGTTTTTTCCCGTTT